TGTGTGTGTGTGTGTGTGTGTGTGTGTGTGTGTGTGTGTATCTGATTAGTAGGATAGCATTTAGCAAAGAGAAGACACTGGAACAGACCCCTGAACTTCACCTTTATTGGTCATGACTTAAATGTCCAAACTGTCAAACAACCACTGCAGCAGTTTCAGACTCACTTCTCAAACCTGCACCCGTCCCTCCATTCATCGCAGAAGTGAAAACAAAACCTGCTTCAGCAAAAATCAGAAAGTAAACACAGCAATATTGGTTGGTTGCTGGAAATGTAACAGAGTCCTGCATCTTGTGCTTTTTTTCCTGTTTTTATCCTTGCAGAAGGCACGTGTGCATCAGTTCATGAAATCGCACTTTAAGCTTTTCTTAGTGTCTCTCTGAAGAGTAAGACTATGCAAGTGTTCATACAACACATGAAGCTCCCTCTGAAAGAACTTCTGCTCCTTGTACGACTGGCAGTGTAAAACCAAAGCCACGTTATGATTACCTGCCATGTGCAGAGCATTAATGCATGTTGTTTCTGAGATTTTTTTAAGGTTTGTAGTGTGTTGTGCTGTGTTATGTTAAACTTTGATGCCAATGGAGTGTAAACATCAGGAATAACGTGGCCGTTAGATTTGAAAGCATGCTGTTATGCAGCCCTCGTCAGTGCCTCTCATGTTTTGTATGGTCGTGGATGTAAAAGTAGAAAAGTGCGTTTTAAGTCTGCTTAAGACAAAACAGTGGCAGGCAGGAGATCTGCACAGAGCCTAACTCGGAGTGTCATGTCTCATTTCAAAGGCGGAGGGGTTTTCAAATCGCCTGAAAACTCTGGGTGCTGAAATATTTTAGTTAAAATAAAATAAAATAAAGTAGACAGAAAGGAAATAAATAAAACGAATAAAAAGTTTTTCGTAAATTAAAAAAAATCAACCAAAATAAAAATATAAAGAAACTGTCAGCAGTTTTAGTGTTTGCAGTCTGTGCTTACTGAGTCAGCTGCTTCCAAAAAATGTTTTTATTATAATGATTATTCTGAATTTTGTTAAGCCTGGGACCTGCTAAATATCCTCCATGTAGTAATAAATTAAAACATGAAAAACTGGAAATTTTATTAAAAAAAGAATTAAAAATAATTAGTATATTTTTTATTATTCTATTTTTTAATTAAGCTGTATTTAATATTTTCTTTCAGTTTATTTTCTCAGTGTTTTTGTTAAATGATTTTTGGAAAGAGTGTGGACAGAAATGTCACGCTGTAAAGGTTAAAGAGTAACACAGCATGTGAAAAATATGCAGGATCCAGGCTGTGCGCAAAATTAATTTCCAGTTTTTCAAATATTCATTTTAACTTCACAGTCTACAAATAATAAGGAAAACTCATCCCCACAGTGATGCTGCAGACTTTTTAGTCTCTCTGAAAGAAATTCATAGAAACAAAAATGAATATTTTGCATGTTAAACTAGAAGTTTTGAAATTTGGACTCCAGATTGGTTTTCACATGCTGCGTCACACAAAGAGGTTGTTAAAGCTCTTTACGTGATATAATTTACACTATTTGAATTGGAAATGTTTTTCTCATCAAACATCATTTCCAGGACCCTAAAAGACTATTTTGACCATATGTATGCTGTTCCTCCACCTTTCAAATCTGCAATCCAACCATCATGTGCTCATCCAGATGGTCAGAGGAGACTTTTTGAGGGTTGTGGAAATGCCTTCAAAAGGCAAAACCAGCTGGTTCTGTGTTTTCTAAACTTCACCTGGTGATTATTTAACGGTGACTGCTGACTTTAACACATGAGAGGCACAAACTGGTGCTACCTCTGATGATGCTTTGGGCCACACTTGTGATTATAGCTTTTCCATTTGCATCCACAGCAGTATCTTTAGCGTACTGCACGTTTTTCAAGTTTTTAAATCCGAGGCACGGCGGTCACGAGGCGTTCAAACTGCCAACCACACCCTGACGCCACAGATCCCCAATGAGTGCAACAATAATTGGTCTGTTAACAGTGCTCGAGCTTTCCCGCCGCTCTGCGTGTCACAGCACGTTAGGAAGGTAAAGTGAGCAGAGCAGCATGTTCTGTCCCAGAGCCGGGAAGCGCCTGAAGGCCTCCCAAGCGTCTGAGAAAATGTTATATTTGAGAAAAACGCGGTGTTCCAGGCTGGTGGGCAGGCTGACGTCCCGGCTCATAATGTAGATACCGTCGTTGTGCAGCGTGCACGTCAGGTTCAGTCCCGACTTGGACGTGTTCTCCTTCAGCTGGAGCCACTCCCCCGTGGTGACGTTGTACGACTGCACCGTCAGCACGTCCTCCGTTTGGCTGGGACGTCGCCGCCGCAGCCCCGTGTCCAGCTCGTGGGTGTAGCCACCCACCAGGTAGATGGTATCCTCCACGGAGAGCATCTGCTGCTTCCGGATGTGAGCCGGGCAGGATCGGAACGTCGTCCAGGTGTCAGAGATGGGGCAGTATCGGAGGATGTTTGTGTTCCTCTCTGTCCGGTGTAATGGGAAGAAGAAACAAAAAAAACTTTACGAGAGTAATTGTTACATATTTAATATTAGAAAGCCCAAAATAAAATAAAATAAAAAAAACACAGAATGACTGAATAATTAACAAAGAGAAATGTAAGAATGTGCTCCAACATAAACAAACCGATAATAAAATAAAGAATAGTTTTTAAATCTTATAAAATCTCCTACAACCTGGGAGATGCATTGAAGTTGCTCATCTTATTTAAACAAAAACCCAAATATGGAAGCAATAACCGCTTTGATATCCTGTTCACCCAGCAGTGCTAAATCCCTTATAATTAAGGTTATATAAGAGATAATCCGGGACAAGGTGTCCTGATTATAAACGATATGTTGCTGACTGGTAAAGGGATAAATACACATTAAAATGAAGAGTTTATAGGATTATAAGAAGCAGGAGCAGCTCAGCAGACCCAAATATGAAGGATCCAAACTACCAAAATCTTAAATTACTCAATATAGAAATAATGAGTCATTCAGAGATCAGTCTGGGTGTGTAGTAACTACCTTAAGGTGCATGTGCGGTCCATGCTTTTACTGTAAAAGTTTAATAACTTTTTGTGTGATTTCTCATTTCAATTATATTTTTGTCTTTTTGCTTATTGTATTTATTATTTTTTACTTTACTTAAAATTCTCGTTGGGCGCTAAAATGTGACATGGACATAATGGTTCTAACGAATGCCTTTAGAGTAGTTTTTTTTAAAGGGGGTAAAAAAGTGATCTAATTTTGTTTGAGAAAAGTAAACTGCAGCTCAAGAGGAACTGAATCTGAGAATATAAACAGCTGTAGGTAAGAAAGATCCAAAAACGTCTGGTGGGTGCAGCAAAGCCTGCGTCTCTAACAGCCAGCAGGGGGCAGATGGTTACGTTGTACAGAAGTGCATGAGAAAAGGTCCTCGGCTCCCTCTTAGTATGAACTCAGTAAACACTTTGCTGATGAGTTTATGGCTGCAAAGCACACGATGTTTGTTTTGTAAACTGTGGTCTCATTAGAGTCAAAGAGGAGGGTGAAGCTGGATGTTTCAGACTTTGTTATTAACAAATCACCGGAAGAAGCTGCAGTGTGGAAACGCGATCAGATTTGGATAATCACAAATTCTTTATGGTGAGGAACGGAAAACAAAGAAAGGGATGGATGCACTTCTGCATTAACGGTATGTAAAACATCTACTTCAAACTGTCAACGGTGACAAAACAACACAAGGACAACGTGACAAACACCACAGCCAACTGAGAGGAAGTGCAACAATGCAACAACAAGAAAATCTGAATTCACACAAAGTCATTTTCCGTTTAACTCACTTTTACTTAGTGACCTCACAGTATAAGGAAAACACACTGTCCTGGGTATCTGTGTTCTGTTTGTTCCTCTTCTCTCGCTTCTCTTATTTTAAGCCTAATTTTTTCCCCTTGTGACGATTAAACTTAACAAAACAAACATCTTGATGTTTTCAGTAAAACGTATCAGGAAAATGTTTACTGTCTTTACACTATAAACTGCCTTGATATGAGAGTTACAGTTACCTGACACTAAAAGTAAAAAAAACAGATGTTCCCTTATGAGCAGCACATGGCGACAGCAGGGAGGAAGAACTCCGTTTAACAGGAAGTCTTCTCCAACAGAATCACCGTGACATACAAACATCTGTTGAGACTAACCAGAGGCTAAAAATACCATACAGCCATCAGGGAGGTTTTTACTCTGTGGAATTAAGTTCTGTTTTTTGGAGGAGTTATAACTACAGTGCCATGAAAAAGTAGTAGTCAGGATTGGGTGTGGCAAAAAAAATTTGGTTAATCACAATTAATCTATGAGTTAACAAGAGGAGTATTTACTTTTTCACACAGGGCAGGTAGATTTGGATAACTTTTTTCTCTTAATAAATGAAATTTTAAAGACCGCATTTTTTATTTTATTCAGGTCATCTCGCACTGTGGTTTCTGCTGTGAAATGATTCACGTCACCTTCAACCTCTAAATGTGGGCTTTTTTTGCTCCTTAAAAAAAAGGAGAAAGAATCACTAGATGAAAATTCACAGTTACTCTCCAAACTGTTGTCGGACTGTGTTGGCGTGTTAGTGTATATGCTGCTGTAGCTCCTGTACACACACCTCTCGCAGTGTATCCACCCATGACGTAGATCATACCCTGGCACTCACAGGCAGAGAACTCAGCCAGCGGGTCGGGCATCGAGGAGACGCAGGTCCACCAGTCCTGCTCAGGGCTGTAACACTCCACTGTGCCCAGACACTGGCCTCCCACAGCGTACAGCTTCCCCTGTACAGCCAGCAGCTTGAAGTTGGACCTGCATGAGAAGAATCACTGACTGAAACGCAATGCAAGGCAACCAATGGGGACCAAGTGGGGACTCGTGTTACCTCTTCTGGTTGAGTGGCGCCACCTGGTTCCACTCGTTCCTGCAGGGGTTGTAGCAGTGCACAGCAGAGATCTCCTGACTCGTCATCCTGTACCCGCCAACTATGAACAAGTAGTTATCGAGGATGGCCGACCCATACCCCCTGACGTTGATCATATCTGGAGGGAGGTTGTTGGCGAGAGGCTTCCAGCGCTGCTCCACCTCTCCATACCTCAGCATGGACCAGGGCTCATCCTGATCCGGAACGTCCAGGGACAGGCTGGTGAAGTCTCCGATGGCCACCAGGGTGGCAGTGCCATTCATGCGCATCTCCTTGACTTGGTCCCTGACAGCAGAGGCCAGGCTGCTGAACTCGGGCCGCCTCAGCATGGGGTGGTAGTAGCAGGTCATGTATTTGAGGCAAGCGGTACGCAGGTCGTGAGTCCCATACACCTCGGAGAGGCTGTACAGCTCCACGCAGTTCTCCAGCCGGATCTCCGAAGTGAGGAGCTTAAGGATGGAGGTGACCTGGAGAAAGGAGGCGGTCTCGATCAGATCCTCCAGAGTCTCGTTGACTACCTGGACTTTGGAGGTGTTGATGAACTCCAGGACCAGCTCCAAGCCCAGGACGCTGAGTCCTTGCAGCTGCACCGAGTCCTCCGTGGACTCCCTCATCCCCGAGCTGTACAGAGCTCGGAAGTAGTCGCTCTTCTCAATCAGCTTCTTTTTATTCACCTCGTAGGTTTTGTCATCCATGATGATGGCGATGATCTGCTCGGATGACATGGTGAAGATGGTGGTTTTGGTCTCTCAAGCTGAGTTTTGTCTTTGCTTTCCCTTTCTCAGTCTCCCGAGCCCGTCGCCGTTTACATTTCACCGGCCAGGGAGCTCCGTGCCCGGTCTATATATGGTAATGCTCAGCCTGTAGATCGCCATGGAGCTGGGAAGCTAATCAGCTAGCTGTAGAGGCGCTGCAACCGCTCCCGGATAAACCGGCCAAAAGAAGCTTTTCCCCGTGATGGCATTCCTCCACAACTCGGCCCCACTTTCTGAAAATGTTGGTTGAATATCACGGTTTGTTTCTCAGCCTGCCAGGAACGTTTTCATAACATTTTCCTTGTGAGGGACAATGTCGAGCTGTCAAATTTAACTGTTTTGATTCTGCACCCTACATCGTGTGCGTCTTCTTCTTCCATTGGAATTATTGGCAGATTAGGCGTATCAAAGACACCTTACTGCCCCCAGCAGGTCGTTATTAGAATTACATAACATGGTTTGAATAAATGATAAGAGTATGTTAAATATTTGATCCCCCTTTTGATTAGTCTATTTATTTTTGTGATTGTTTATTTATTTATTTATTTCTATTTACTTATTTTATTTGGTTTGGCTAATTTTGATTAGTTAGTTGTTATTATTTATTTAGATTTTTTAATTAAATAAAAATTTAATTTGGGGTTTTGTCAGAGATGCTATTGGCTGTGGTCACCTCAGCTTGACCATAATTTCTTTATATTTTGGTTCCAAGGAACCAGACTTTCTTGTCATTTTTAAAGTGGGCTTGAGCAGCAGTTCTCCAGGATTTCTGAATATCTTTCAAAGTTTTTCTTTGGACATTGGCTGCTTTTTTAAATCATTTTCAGTCCAGTTCACGTACATATTTACAGAAGAATGATTTACACTTATTAGGTCATTTAACACTAACCCTTGAGTCTATGAAGCACTAAGAAACAATGTTGTGTCTTGCAATAATACATATATGACAAACATAAAATGTCAAATAAATATTATGAAGTATCTAAACAAAGTAACGGTACCCTGGAGTTGTGTCACTGGCGTTGCTGATTAAGAAAAGCCTTTTATTTTGAAGGAAAACACCGCGGTGCCGACATCTAATGACTTCCTGTAACATGTTTCGTGAAGCGCTGCAAAAAATTGGTGTGGCGAGTTCAGTATCTCTTTTCATTTTTCAGACCTTTTCTTTTTTATATCATAATTTCATATGACGCATTTAGTTGAAGTTGTTAGAGAACTGAAAAAGAAAGAAGAAAGAAATTTTGTGAGAAAAACAAGACTGACAACATGTGGTTTGATGCCCTATAGGTTTAGAATTTTTTTTTTATAGAAGTTGTCACTGGTGTCACCTTGATGATGAATCACAACAGAGCTGTTACAACTAACTAACACCACCGTTAACCATTAACAGAAATAAAAAGCTCTTCATGAAGTTTTGTCATAATAATAATAATTAGTAGTAGTAGTAGTAGTATTAATCCTGTGTTTGTATGTCTAAATCAATTCCACCCAATCCCTGGGTAGTTTATTGTGTCACTGATGTTACTATGCTTTGGGGTTTGGGGGATTTTTTCCCCCATTGTCACAGATCCATTGAATTCTGTTACACTTAAGGGTAAACATCAAATGGATTGTGACACTACTCATTATAACAGTTGCATAGCAAATAAGTGGCTTCACAAATGAACAAACACTGTGCAATCAAACTGAAAATAAGAAAACATAATCTCCTGATTTGTTGCATTATGAGTGTAAGTCCGACTACATGTGCTAAAGAGACTGAGGAAATAATATTTATCAAACCCCTTTTAAATTGCAGAAAGAGTCATCTAGTCTGTACAAAAGACTAGATGACTGATGTACAAAAAAGAGATTAAAAATCATTAATCTGCCTTTTGTGTGAATACTAAAGTGAACAGGTTATGGTAAATGGTCTGTATTTATATAGCGCTTTACTAGTCCCTAAGGATCCCAAAGCGCTTTACATATCCAGTCATCCACCCATTCACACACTGGTGATGGCAGCTACATCGTAACCACAGCCACCCCGGGGCGCACTGACAGAGGCGAGTCTGCCGGACACTGGCGCCACCGGGCCCTCTGACCACCACCAGTAGGCAACGAGTGAAGTGTCTTGCCCAAGGACACAACGACCGAGACTGTCCAAGCCGGGGCTCGAACCGGCAACCTTCCGATTACAAGGCGAACTCCCAACTCTTGAGCCACAATCGCCCATGTTAGGTTATGTTAACATTAGGTAATGTGTAAACATTAGAAAAATAAATAAATTTTAGGACATCTCACCATCGCCAAATCGGAGTTTATGTAGAATAAAATAAATAAATACAGACAGGATGAAATTCAGTTTTAAAAATGTTGGACCCATGTTACAAGGTGTTTTATTTTTAGGTACAACTAGTGATTGTAATCCTGCAGAGAGAAAATTACAAACTAAATAAATGTTTAGAAATTATTTGTACATGTATTGTATTTTAAATTATAATCTTTTTCCATCAGATGCAGATCTCATTATTCAGATTAATGATTAACTCTCTTCGCTAACTAATATTCAGAGACATTTATTTTAAGATCGTACACAGTTTTACTGAGAGAAAGGACACCAGTGCACTGCATATATTTTAAATTTAAAAATAATAATAATAACCACACATTATAAAACCCTGGAGAATAAACCCAGGATAACGGTGTTGTGATAAAAACTGAGGTTCATAGGACGTAACAAGAGAGCTTTAATTTGAAAACCTGTACCGGAAACGATTTTTATTATCAGCCTGTTGACGCTGTTGTGGGTGGAGGAGGGGAGAGTGGGTGAGACAGGCAGGCGGGAGCATCAATGACAGGGACTCTTCTTGTGCGGCCCGCTTCGAGTACGCGGCTCCAGGCAGCGGACACCCGGCGCTCTGTGACCCGGACTGAGGATGAGGGAGCAGGCGTGGGCCTCCCGGTCCCCAAGCTGCAGCTTTTTACTCAGCATCACCACCATCATCATCATCGCCGCTCATACATCATCAGTTAAAGGCGCCGGAGACCTGCGGCCGTGTAATAAGGTGAGCGCCTGTGCTGTCGTCGTTATTATAATTATAATATCTGCTGCTTTTTAAAACACAGATCCCGCTCCGCTTTGCTTTTTCTTTATCCTAGAATAAATGATCAGGGCAACAAGTCAAAATGGCCATGCATGCAAGAGTAAATGTGCAGAATAGATTAAGATAAAATAAAATAAAATGAAGAAGGATTAAAAATACAAAAATAAATAAAAACAATGTAAGGGCTGCAAGTCGTTTTGCTGCTTTACATTGGCTCGACTCAGCTCGGGTCCGGATGTATGTGCGCCTCGTCCTTCACGTCGCTGATCGGCTTAAAATGCCGTTCATGTTGACTATAAACACCCTGCTGGAATCCTTCTCTCATCCCCTTCAGAGCAGCCTCATGCCGGCCAGCCCGACCGGGGTTACTCGCTGAGGAGGACAGAGAAAGGCTGCTGGCACGGTTCGCTCTCAACCCTGTAAGGATGACTTGAAGGAATACAAGAAGAAGCTTTTTGCCCTCTAGATGGGGAGATTTTCATGCCAGGACTGATACCCTGTAAATGAAAAAACTAGCATTATCCTTATGGTCACTAGGGGGCGACAGCTGTGATTGAAAATCGAAATCCAGTTATGAAGAAATGTGTGATCCCTGCGCTCGGCAAACACTTATAGCGATTGTTTATGGACTCATTTGCTAGTTTTTTGTAATACTGAACAGATCGAACTCTAAAAGTGCCTTGTATTGTGAGATAAATATCCTGCAAAATTAAAGAGAGAATGATGAGCCTGTGGGTAAGGACATGGTGAAAGGGGGGAGGAAGAACTTTCTTTTAGCAGGAACAGATCACAGCAAAATGTTAGCATAAATTTATCACAGATAAATATGTATCCTTATCATTGAAGATTAGACTCTGTATAACATGTATATGACAACAAAAATTTCATATGGGTTAAAAAAAAACAAGTTTATTTTGTTTGTTAAATCAGGGTTACTTATTTAATATCCTTCTCTGTGAATACACTCCTGCATTTTATGATGTCCTGCCTTTACCTGGTCCAGACTTTTATTTTATAGTTGTCTACGAAGCTAATCCTAGCTAACATTATCCTGTTAGCTAGATAACTAAGTTATCAGTTACAGCAAACACTGTGGCAGTCACAACTCCATATGATGTCAGACAATATAAATAAACTCTAAATGTTCTGAAAGATATATATATATATA